ACAAACGAAGCACTTCTGTTTTTTTTTATTTTATAGCATGATTTTACATATCCAAGTTGTATTTTATTACGTATTTTAACCCTTTATTTGAATTACATAACATCAATTTGCAGTCGATCAAGCAATATATTTACTAATAAAGAAGCATATTATTGATATATTTCTCTAAAACTGCAGAGTTGTGGCTTATATGCCATGTGACATTTTTTCTGACTTTCTTTTGCTGAATCATAATTTCAGGGCAGTAGTAGGAGTAGTTTCTTTTTGGGGAGGCAGTTTTGATGCTTGCTTGGGATTTGAACCAGCAACACTCCGATTATTAGTTTGATCATTTAACCACATAACAAAAGTGAAAACTCAATTTAAAATGTTAACCACTCTGTCTTCCAGAAGAAATTCAATTATTAAAATTTACCACTGAAAAAAGTCAGGCATGATGAACTGTTTATTCTTTTAATCCAGGAGGTTTAAAAAGGTTTTTAGTGACACATCATGTCTGAGCAATGACACAGACTGCACTTTTCAGCCAGCATCAACCATCTGTGCGTCTGTTCACACAAACTCTCTAAAAGCTGTCACTTCACAGCTTGTTTTACTGTTGTACTGTTGTACTGTTGTTTTTTTGTTTGTTTGTTTTTTTTAATCACTTGCTAGAGGAATTTTTATAACCCTGTCTGTGTGGAGGAAAATAATCTAATGTAAAAGCAAAAAGTGTCTTTAATTCTTTTTTGGTAACTGTCTACCAAGGACTAAATATAAAAAAATTTGTGTCAACGCTCGTCACAGGTGACAATAATAATGATTTTTTTTAATGGAAGCTGTGATGCTGCACTTCCTTTCAGAACAGGATTTTGAATTAAGGTATTTTAGTTGCATAAAAGCACTAAATGAGTTGACTCAGTGTGGGGTTGAAGGTAGGAGTCTTGACAGGCCTGTAAGAGATGTATTTACGTAAGAAGATTAAAGTCTGTGAAAAGGGAAGGTTTTTAAAAACCTTCATCCTCCTGCTTTTGTTCAAATGAAAGAACGTGTCACAAAGGCTGCCAGGAAACGCGTGAAACAAATTCAATTAGATGTAATTGTGGAATGAGCAGCAGATCAAAGTCACACGTCAAAATTATGGAAACAACGTGCTTTATCTGACAGGAACATAATACGGTGGGGTCTTGGGAAATGCGAGGAAACTTGAAAATATTGGGGGGCAACAGTGTTTCTCCTCCAGACACCTGCAAATATTATTTTCCCGTTTCCAGTGTGAAAGACTCAAATATTTATGCACATCTCAAACTGTCTGTAAATAAGAAGGGCCACCTGCTAAACAAAACACACCATCACCGATTTAGTTTACCAGAATTAGTGTACAATTATTCGAATTTGTGAAATGAATTTATTTATACAATTTTTTTGTGCTTTAGCAATTTTACTGAGCACCATTAGGTATGTGGTAGTTATAAAACATTTTTTTATTTTTTTTAAATCAATTACATATTTCAGCTGGCCCCATATGTATTCCAGGCGACCACATGTGGGGTCATGACCCCAAGGTTGAGAAACACCGAATTAATCTGTATAATCTCACAAATTTAAGCACAATTCCCCTGCAAAGTCTAACAAAAAGTCAAAATAAAAAGAAGCTAATCTTATTCTTGTTTACATATTCATCTATGTATGTAGCTTTAAAAAAAAAAAAAACTATTTTTTTTTTTGTCCCAATTGCACATTGTCTATTGTGTTGGCCGCTATCATGAAAAGTGATAAAAATACTATGATTTTTCTTTCTCTTAAATAATTATTGTTTTAAATATTGGTGTTTTTTATTTATTATAAAAGCCTTCACCAGTGTTTGTCAACAGAGCACAGTTTGTTCTCCCTCTCTCTGCTGACCCTGACGTGTCCGTCTCCACCACCTCCACTCCTGCACTTGCTCCTCCTTTCTCCTCGTCCATCTGTGCCTCTTCCTGCTTCGGCTCTCAGGTTATAGACAGTGATATCCATGCATCAAACACTCCTCTCAGGCGTCTCATGACTCTGGCTGTGAGTCTCTCCCACAGGCTGCAGCTGTCCTGGCAGGAAGCCTAAAAGTTGGGCTGTGATGTCTCCACACAAGAGGACTTTCTCTTTACCCTGGGCCCCTTGGGTTTCTGCTCACATCACATGGCACAGTGGTGCTTCTTGTTGTTGGGAAGGGAAAAAAAATGTGTCAAAAATTGGAAGTCAGTCTAAAGAGAACAGCGGCGCGCTTTTAGTGGAGATTTACAGTTGAATACATACAGTGGACGAAACTAATTTGTGCAGGAAATGGGCAGAGTTGAAATGTTCAAAATACTTAATTATTCGGTACTGTTGGATTACATTACATTTGAGTAGGTTACAAACTCCCATTTCTATCCAAGTGAGCACCCTTTTCAAAATGTATTAAGGTTCCTCTGCACACCTTCACAGTTACGTAGACAACGTTTACGTCAACAGTTTTTAAAAATGAGTCTCTATGGTTAATGTAGAATTATATTTTTAAATGATGCAATTGTCAATGTGATGATCACATGTTTTACTGTGCAGTCTAAATACTGAATACTATTACAGTAGCATTTATATATTATGATGTAAAATGATTGCCAGGTGCTTGCACAAAGTAATGGTAGGTACAAATCAAAACAACACTAAGTGGGACCTCAAATGCATCTGTCCTCGGGTTCTATGGTACAGGAACCATCTACCAATGCCTGGTTGCACGTTTCTATTTAAACATGCTTCAACCAAACATTTACTTTCCTATTTGTTTAGTTTTCCAATGTGTAAATACTTTTCGTAGCGTTTCCCCCTCATTCCAGCCAGAACAACGTGTTTCTTTTTTCCTGTGTGTTTTACCTGTTTGTTGATGTCTGGACTGTTTTCTGTTGATCTGGGGAATTTCAATTGTTTCTCATTGTTTGCCTGGTTGAACTGCTCTCTGCATCAGCACTCTGTGAAACCGGTCTCTCTCTGTTTACATCAAATAAGTGAAGTGATGTTTGCTTGCGTACGTGAGTGTGTACACGTGCATTAATATACACCACAGTGGACTCTTGTACCTCTGTTTGCAAACCATGTGTCAAGTCCGTCTGTCTGTCTCTCCCCAGGGTTAATCAGCGTCATCAGCCTCACCTGTGTCCTGTGACTCTCTGTTAATCAGCCTTCCTCCCTCTGTCTTTGTTGGGTGGTTGTGTGTCCTTATGTCTCCTAGCGGTTTCTGTTGTCACTGTTGCGGTTCACGGTCATCGTCGTGTCGGAGAACATATCAGGTCTGTTTCCCAGTGATTCTCTTCATTCTTTCAAATCGCACGTAACGCCATGCGAGCATGTTATAAATGTTTTATTTAACAACAAACTGCAGTGTTGTGACTTATGCTGTAATATTATTTCTGTAAACTTCTGTAGTTTTGTTTGCTAAATCCCATTTTATTTTTGGTTATTTATATTCACTATAGTCTTGCATCCTTTGCTGTCAAAGTTTACCTTGTTTTGTTTTTCTCACCGAGCTTTTAGTTTATGCAATTGCTTTTCTTATTCTGTATTCTTATTGTTATTCATAACTAACCCAATTTCATGTTTTGTTTTCTTTAACCCATCTTTTTAAAAAACTTTTGAGGAAAATGTGTCACTTTTTAGTTTTAAATTCTGCTGACAGACTAACCACCAGACACTGGGTAAAACAAAGTCCTTGGCCAGGCCAAAAAGAACCAAATGGATGTTAGTACTGCACATGATGAAGCAGCAGTCCAGTCTATGAATGTAAATCCAGTGGAGCTGGTTTCGGCCGAGCTGGAAGGTTGTGACAGTTTTGCAGCAGCTGTCAGTGCAAGTGACCAGCAACCAAATATGGACATTACCAGTACCATTGTTATTATTATTTTTATTTTATCACATTAGGATTAACTCTTTGCTGCTCCTTCACATAATTAGATAGAACTAACACAGTCTCATTAGCTCTGGAGCTCAGATATACTGTAACTGTCAAGTTATTTGCTTTTCTTTTGTTACACTTTCTACTTCAGTTTTGAGATGTGGAAATATTTTTATAACCTTCAAAAACATCCTTGAGCTTTTGTTTTGTCAACTTCAGGTTTTGTTTTTTTTTGTTTTTTTGTTTTTTTAAGACATAATGGAGCTATTATGTTTTGCCTGTCACAATTGACAACCCAAACCTCAGATGTAAGCTATTTTCAGTGTCAGTATTGTAACTCTGCTTACTGGTTTTTAGTGCACTTATTTATTAGTTACATTTCACAGTGCTAATAATAAGTTTAAAAGGTGGCGGTTTGGTCTTTGGCACCTCCAGTGAATGTCGTCGAGTTGTCGTCGGATGAATGTCTAAACCCAAGATCCTGCTGCTCTGTACGGGAGGTGTGAGTGATGCATGATTAAAACAGACCACTGTAAATAGGCCAGCTGGTTGAATGGGTGACTGAATGGGTAGTTCAGTTGTTTTTAGAAGATTTTCACACTGCTGCAGTCTGATTCATTTGTTACAAAAAAAGAGTAAAAAAAATCCTTTGAGGCTCAGCCAAACATGAGTCACAGCTGCAATCACCAGACAGATTTTTCTTTTTGCACCTGAAGGAGATGCCGCACTCTCAATCACTAACTTAGCACGAATCGAGTGTTCCTTCCACTGTGCCCCACGTTCCACAGCCATGTGGAAGAAGATGTTCCTGTGTGAATGTGATGTCATTAGATAGTTCACCTGTGTTATTGGGAGGAAGAACTTTTTACACACCTCAAGTGATCATAATTTAGATTGCAATCATCCTGACTAAAACATCTGTGATTCTGGTTTTTAGATAGCTATTATCAAACTCCCTTCTCTTTTCCTACTTATATTTAAGTAGTTGCCTTTTTTTTGACTCACAACCCAACAGGTAAAAAGCTACAACACTTACGTAAGGGAGTATTTGTACTTTAATTGCAGTTTGTCTTTTGAAATATTTTTGCTTGTACTTTTTTTTTCTTTTTTTTTTAAGAATTGGCTACTTTACTCTGATGCTGATCCAGAAGACAGACACGTGTGAAGAAATGTCCATGTCATTGGGCGACCAGTCGATGACCTCCTTATCATTGTGCACTGCGTCAAGGATGATACTGCAATTAGAAGACACCAAGTTGGCATTAAGGTACTGAATGAATTTATTATAAATTGATTGTTGGTTTGGTTTGTGTAGATGAGACTCATGTCTTATGAATTGCTGTAGCAGCAAACCTCATTACAGAAAATATTACATGTTTTAGGACTTTTACCTGAGTGGTATGTGTAAAGACTTCAACTTTCTGCTGAGTCATTGTTGGGGGAGTATCTGTGCCACTATTTAGTCTAGGTCTTGGGTACTTTATACTCTTACTCTTTTGGACAAACACAATTAATGTGGATTTTTTCCTCAATTTTCAAAGACCATCATTCTTTGTCTCAGTTAAATTTTAGTTATATTTTTAAAAAAAATGTGACTTTTTTTTTCTGGCAGTTTTTTTTCTACTAGAAAACACAGTCTTTAGCCATGGAGCCATTGTGCCAGAAACAGCTGACTGACTGGCTCAGACTTAGCCTCACTAAAATAGAGTGAAAGAGATTAAGAAGCTCCATAAAGTTGCTGAGCAGGGTAATAATTCCCAGTGGCATTTTGCACTCGGTGTCAAAATAAGGAACATTGATTAATTTGGGTTTCAAGAGGGCAGAAAAAGTAATTGGTAGAGGTCAGGGATAAAAGTGGTTCTTACGAAACGACAGGCAAACAACAGCCACTGCTTAATAAGTCTTTTATGCGTTTCATACCGGCACAATTAATTCCTCCACTCTCTCACCTCTTTTACAGTTTCTTTCACCTGCTCCACTTCAGTGTCTTTATTTGCACAGGATAGTATAGCACTTGCAAGGCGGATTTTGGGCAGGTTCTGATTTTTAGATTGTGTAACTTTGCTATTTTTACAGTTCTCAACGGAAACCGCCTATACTTTTTACACCCTCCATTTGTTATCAGGGCGACAGGGCGTCAAAGTCATGCAAGTGTTGTTGAAGCAGATAAAAATAAAAAGGAGGAGGTGCTTAAACATTTACATTATTAATGTCTAGATGCTGATTCCTCCTCTCAGATGATCTCTGTTGGGTCAAGCTTTTAATAAGGTCACTATAGATCTCCAGACAAGCACAGTATTCCCCTGTGGAATTAAGACATTTGTTTAATCATGATGTTTTGATTTGGATCTAAATATACTATCACAGATTCATTTTGGACCGTTTAACTTTAGTTTCAGTCTTGTTTATATTTAATAGTAGTACCTACAAGTTTGTGTATGTCGTATTGATTCATCCATTCACACTTAGTTTGAAACACTTTGGTCTGTTCTGGTCTGCATCGTTGAAACACTGAGCTAGAACTTGAGGCATCCAGAGAGCAGTCGATTGGTTAGGTCTGAGGTTTTTTCTCTGAACTTTTGTAAGTCACCCTTTGGCTGCTTTTTCATTCATTTAAAGTTAGAAGAAAAAAAAAACAAAAACGGATCAAGCTCTGAAGCTTTCAAACTGTGAAACTGCTTTAAACTTTGAGATTTACCCAAATGCTACATGGAAAAGAAATTAAAGGAAAGATGGGTTTAATTTTGCCAAAATAGCAATGTGTTTAAAATTATATGTAAAAACAGCAACTTGTTACTAAAGATAGCTTAAAGATAGAGTAGCTTGTACCCATAGCCTTTCATGCCTGCCATTGTCTTGACACAGTACTGTAAATATCACTGATTGTCTCTTAAAAGGCTGTTTTATTAAAATCCTGTGTACTTTGATATGGCAGTTTGAGGCTGTAGACATTTCTTCATTCCTTGCAGGAACATGTTTCTTATGTGTTCTGTGTTTGAAATGTCTTTCCTTCTCTTTTCCACATCCACTCTCACTACACCTCATTCATCTTTTTTTTTTTTTTATCTCCATTCTCTGCACAAGCATTGTGTCCTCTGGCAGTCTAAGTAGCTTATTGTAGTGCGGAGTGTTCACTCCTGAGAGACGAAGCCCATGAAGAGTGGGAGTGTCTCACTGCGAAGCAATTTTACTTTGTCTGTTGTGATGAGGAATGAGAGACAACTGTGCTTAAGAAACGTTACAAATGTGGGAAATGCGGCGGTGAATAAAAGAACAGCACATGCATTCTTTTACACATAGTGATGTGAGAAAGTTGTACGAAAAAGAAGCCGTCTCAATTCCCTGGGTGAGAGGAGACCTTGCTGAGTGTATACCTGTCTGTCCAGAGTGATGTTATGTGAAATATTGTTGTCCCTCTAACATGTGCTCGGGGACTGCAGTGTTGACTTGATGCTGACGCCGATGTCACAAAGAAAAATTAGTGTTCTTTAATCGACCTTGGTAGAAAACAGCCATTTGTTTGTGACCTTGAATAGTAGCGTTGAAACAGGAACATACATAATGCTAAACAGGCTGTGTTTTTACAGCTTGGTGCTTTTCTTATGAACACACACTTTATCTCTACATGCTCTGCTGGAGGTGAGGCTGCCAACAAGACACTGAATTTCTTGTTCGTTTCACAGTGGCCTCACAAAGGATGGATGGGACGTGTGTGTGTGTGTGTGTGATGCACTGCAGGGCCAAATTGGTTAAATTTTAGCAGTGGTGGACTGGCCTTGACTAAAAAATATCAGAAATCAGTTAATTATTTTTTCAATATAGTTATCATGAATATTTATAATATAATACTATATAGTCTGTTCCCATTGTTTAATTACAGTTCCTGTGGTTATATATATCTATGTATATATGTGTGTATATATATATGTGTGTGTGTGTGTATGTACTGTATGTGTATATATGTGTGTATATATGTTTGTTTGTATATTTGTGTATATATGTATGTATATTTATATATGTATATATATATTTATGTGTACTTATATGTGTATATATTTATGTATGTATATATATATTTTTATGTGTATGTACATGTATGTGTTTATATATGTATGTGTATATATATATATATATATATATATATATATATATATGGCTGTACCGCGTGTCGGAGGTGTGACTGAATTGCGCTACATGGCTTTGTTATTTTAGTAATGGCTTTTCTACAGCTTTGATGGTGTCTATAGACGTAATGCTGTATAAGATGTGGATTTGTTCAGCCGCTGAAGGGCTAGGTGCCTTTGGCACACCACTAAATTTTAGTACCAAAAACCTGCTGTTGGTCATGTAGAGTTATACTTAGGAAATATTAGCCGCTTATATTTTACATTTTTAGATACGTTCACCATTAGTGAAAAATAAACCTCACATGTTACTAAAGGCCTTGGTTCAACTGTAGCCTTTAGCTTTACAACAGGCTGTTTTACTGGGCCACCTGTGGGCTTTTTTTTCCAGCTGTGTGAAACTCATTTGTTTGCCATACTTCAATATTTTAGGTTTCAATGTCACTACTGTGACAGGTTAATAGAGAACCCACGATAGCTTTGTTGTGCCACCAAAAGAAAGTTTAGAAATTCAAAAGTCGGCCTGCCACATTAGGAGCTGAAATAAAAAACATGAATATCCTCAATTATGAATCAGTTCTAAATGGAGTTTATTCTTCCTCTTTGTTTCTGTTTAATTTCCAGGTGAAAAATGACTAATGGAATGGCTCCAAAACAAAAGTGGCCTTGACTTTTTTTTTTTTTTTTTCCATGTGTTTACGTGATACTTTTATGAAGCTAACATCCTGGAGGGAGAGTCGACGTTGGTCTCATTATCTGTCTTGTAAACAGTGTTGCTGTTTTTTTTTCCACTTTGAACTGTGTGCAGCAAAATAGTTTTCTTTGTTCTAAAGCCACAGTGTTTTGAGGGAGAGCTTTTAAGGGCCATTCACAGTTGAAGAAAGCAGTCAGAAGAAAGAGGTCACGTTTTGTTGATGTTTCTCTTACACTGCAGAGCTTCAAGAGCCCACCAAGCTCCTCTCACATTGTCTGTGATCTCTGACCATTCCTTCTGCCCTGCAGCAATCCCCTTAGCAGCAGGAGAGGTCTGCATGACCCCCGAGGGCCATCCCGGCCAACGAACCCTTCATGAGGGAGAGACTGCGGCACAGAGAGGCCATAATGATGGTCATGTTAAAAAAGAAAAAAGAAGGGAAAAGTACAGGCTCTCACCAAAAAAACTTCACCATGAAGCTAAAACCATCTCCAAAGAGCACAAATCACTGGAATACATTCAGCGCATGACAAGGTTTTGCAGAGATTTTTTGTTCCCAAAGAAGTAAAAGAGCTTTTTTTTCAACAATTTTTGTATACCTTCCACATCAGTGCCCTGGGAATATGTGAGAAAACATTTACTCCGTACAACAAAAGCAGACACGTTATTGATGGGTTTTTTGCAACGGTATTCTGGAAAGTATAAACGCGTAACAAAGGAAACAAACGCCTGCCATCAAACTGTCATTCTCAACACGCATTCTGTGCATTCTTGTTTTCAGTGAGCAACTGACTTTTGTTTAACCGGTGAAAATTGTTTGGAGATTTAAGGCGTGTCCTTTTAGTACTTTCTTTCTCAAAATTTTGAAGAGACTTCTGTACAGATGTCAATAATTAATTAATTAAAAAAAAAAAAGCATTGAGTAAAATATTTCAAGGCAGCACATGTATTTGAAGTTAAATAGCTGTGGTATTTTTTAGGAGCATCAGACAGCTGTTTTATTTTGTGTTAAAGTATTATGTGTAGGGCTCTACATATGTCACTCAAATGCTGAGGAGTGTGCTATCAGGTTTGGATGTGGATGTGTTCCTTGTGATCTACATGACTGAGGATATGATTCATAGTCTGATGATTTTTGACCACACAACTGCCATAGATGACTGAATTGTTGCCCCCAAGTCCATTAGGTATTTTCTTCGAATTACATATTTTTCTGTCAAAACAAAAGACTCTTACCAAAGCCATCAGTCTATTTAGTAATTTGGATTTTTTTTTAATCTATAATTTGTGTGGGTTGTTTAGTAAAAAACTATCAAGGTTCTGCCATCCTTGAAATTTTGAGTTCAATCCAACTCAAAGTTCTGTACCCTGGGGTACCAGGATATGATTTCCACTAAAACTGGATAAATTAGCAGGAAAACAATAAAATATATATATATATATATATATATATATATATATATATATAAAACGCCTTCAGCTCACTAATGACTACCCATGATCCTCCTCTCCTTCCACCACACAGTCCACAAGGGAGAGGGAGAGTAATGTGGGATGAGCCTAAAGTTTTCTGTTTACCCTTATTGCTTTTGCTGCTGCAGACAATAATATTATCTGCAGCTGCAGGCCTCGGAGCGCACAACTTGTAAATAATAAACCAAGCTGGACAGAAGCAGCGAGGCCACTGCTAATCCTGGCATTATTCCACTTTTATTGTTGATATTTGCTCATTATTTCTCATCTCCTCTAGCTGAAGACAGCCAGTTAAATTATTTTTACCCTATTGTTTTCTTCTAGGCCAAATTAGCATCTCCGACAGGCAGCTTCCTAAGACGCCTTTATTCTTCCTCTCGCTCTTGACCCCTTTACTGCCCACAAGGCATTGCAAACTGTCACTGTGGGTGTTGCTGGATCATAGAACTTCTTGACATAATTAAGGAAAACGCTCCATTTGTACAGTTTAAATTTGAACATTCTCCCATCAGAAAACCTGCTAGAACTGTCTTGATAGTTGGAACACCCTGTTGTTTCCCCTGTGGAGAATTGAAGTGAGACCTGGCTGCACCAGATTGATGTTTTACTCAATCTGCAATCTGAGTATTTATAATAAGCCCTCTCAGGGTTGTGTTTAGGTGTCCAGAGAGCTGCCAACACCTGTTCCTGCAGAGAATGATAATGGTTCACCCACACTCCACTCTGATATTCTTTTTATGGAAAGAACAACTCTGACAAGGCCTCGGGCCTAAACTGGTTGTCTGTTTTTATTGTTTGTTCCTTGGTGTGAACACAACTAGAGATGTGCAGCTAATGAATTGACTGTGAAGGCGCTAACTAAACGGATGATGCTCTTATACCACAACCTAGATAGCTCACAAATAACATGCTGTACTTCCATTCCTTAACAAAGTGTAGTTGTGAGACTTGCAGCGGTGATTAGGGTTTTCCAGATCCGGTAAAGCAAAAACCCTGCAATTTTACTCAGAGAGCACTGCAGTGTTCTGTATCAAATAAGGCTGTTATTGGAGGCTGAAAATAACAGGAATTTTCAGAATAAGCACTTTTTCTACGAACACCTTGACTGGGGATTTTGTTTTTGTTAGATTTAAATCTACTCTTTGAATCTACGTATATGGTGCTGTAGCGTGCTTTGTGTGTTTTGGCATTATTCATTACATGTACATATATGGGCAGGCACACAGAGAGTTCTGTCTGCATCCTGTAAGGACCAAACCACTCAGTTATAAGGGCTTGCAATGGACAGTAGCCTGTGGGTTGGCAATAAAGAAGAGGAATTGCGAAAAACCAGAGCCATATGGATGAAACGTTACACTTGGGTAGAGTGCGAGTTGTAGAAAGAACTGCAACAGGCTCTTACCAGAGGCCTAGGAAAGCAATACTCTGGCGGTAAGGGAAACTAGCAGAGAAGGTGCGTGGTGTTGATGACGGCGTATGATCTTCCGTGACCTCCTCGCAAAGGCAGCTGAAGAAAATAAAGGTCAGTCGGTGATTCAATTAAGAAGAAAATAAAGAGCAACACCCCGTCACCCAGCCCCCCATTCACCTTTATAATCTTACCATCCTCTAAAATCAGCAGACCAGTGTTTCAAAAACAACCTTTGTCAGTGTCTGCCCTTGGATGAAATCACCTCTAACAACCACTAAAGATGTGTATATAAATATATATAGTAAATATATATTTATATATATTTCAGGGGAACACAGGGTTAGGAATCTCCAGTGTCTGATCATGGCTCCAGTAAAGTAGAATTTCTTCTCTGCTCCGAGCTATAAAGTTTGCAGTGAACATTGATTTTCCCAGCACTAAGTGCATTGCACACCCAAGGCCTTGGGGCTAGTTTTCTATATCTGTGAAGTACTACACTGTTAACAAAGAGCTTGTGTCATGGCTCTGCCTATAAGTGACTATTTGTTCGGACTCTGTTTTTTTTTTTTTTTTTTTTTCCCCTTTTACTTTGAGGTAACTTGTCTTGTGTCTTTGTTGTATTACTTCCAATCTCTGCCTGGTTTCCCGCTCTGTGATTGGCTGTTCTTACCTAAATAGTACCTTAAATTATCCCTGCCCATGTCATTTTATCATTTGTGTTTCTTTAGCTGTCAAATGTATTATTTTCTGCCTCCACCTGCATGTGCCCATATCTTTGATTTCCATGCAAATTATTTTGTAAAAATATGAAATTCTCATATTTGGTGTGCAAAAAAAAATCATTTTTTTAGGATGTTTGTGCATTGTTGTGGAATTGTATTTTTCATTATCATTAAAAATGTACAAGGTGCAATCATAACAGACTTCTGAGTCAGAAAAAGGCTTGTGGCAGAATCCTTGTTTTATTTATTCCTTTTAGTGTGGATAAAAAAAAGGTATGAATTTCTTTTTTTTTTTATCTTAAATGTAACATTGATCTGTTTTTATGGCATTGTACTGATAATTGCCTATTGTTGCTTTTCAAGTGCTGACAATGGCTAGTTTAGAATTTTGGCTATTGTTAGTGCTGCTGATGAATGTTGTTTATTTCAGTCACTCGCCAAAGTGATCTGGTTCACATCAACCACAAAAGGGAACTTCAAGACAGTAAACAGGTCTTGATTCAGAAAAAATATTAAGTAGTAAAATCTTTAGAAAAATATCATGTTCGGTAAACACAGCAAACTTTTCTTTATCAGATATCACAGTTGATTTTGAGATAGAACTTAACAGCACCAAGGTGTTTCTCTACAAACCTCAGTAGAAAAACAAGATCATTTATTAAAATTCAGGATAATCTGACTAGTGTTGGTGCATTTTTAGTCTTCAGAGACAAGACCTTCGAACCACAAAATATTCCTCTCCCACTGGCATTTTTTGAAAACCCAAGATGAATTGGTTGAATTCCAAAAATATTTTTGTATTCAGGGCACAGTTACTTAGAAAATACAGCACACCAAAAACAAATACAAGAGCAGTGTAACTCACAGTCCTGGAGTAGCCTATAAACCTATAACCTAAACCTGTAATTGTTTTGAATTATTAGTGTGTACTAACACTAATGTAACTATTACTACTACTGATATAAATTGTAAACTGGAGTTAAGTAGGTCACAACTTGACCGTCTTCATTTATTCAAGATGTTTCACCTCTCATCCACGAAAAGAGAATCATTACAGCAAAACAAAGGAGGTGAGCACACCCTGACCCAGCAGTAGGCTGTGTGGAGGGTTGCGTGATTCACATGAGAGATTGGATCCCAGTTGACTGTCTGCCCCTTGGAGTCTGTCTCTGTTGTTTGCTGCATGGGGGTTCCAGTTTCTGGGGAGAGAAGTCAGGACAAGATTATAAGTGGATGAAGGATGGTGTCTTGATCCACCTCCTCTGTTGAGTGATGGTTTTTACCAGGTTAATGTAGATGGCCTCCTTCACGCTTCTCTAAAACCATCTGGCCTTTCTGGTTAAAATTTGTACAATTTCATCCTTAAAGCCTGTCCCTGTCCTTGAGTTACAGATGAACAGCTGAGCCCTGGCCTGAAGAGCTGGCTCTGCTACATTGTTGCATGCACTTGTACACTGGCTGTTTTGTCTCACTGATGTTAAGGTCAGATCTGACCTCTCTATACTGTACCGTACACACGATGTTTGTGGTCTGGTATCTGGACTTTGGGGAGAACTGTTTGGTTGTTTTGTTTTTTTTTGTCAGGGAGTATTGCTGGGATTGACAGAGACTGGGAATTTGTGTTTGGTCAAAATTCCTGACTGTTTTTTAGGGACACAAGTAATTTTCATCTTTTGATTGTGGTATTTTTGGAAAAGGAGCAATTAAGAGATGCCACGAGGATAGTATGCATTGCTTATGTGTAATGTTTCCTTCACTTGCCCTGCAAAGGAGATGGAATGTGTCATCAGTGTTACTGGTCTGTTTGAGATGGTTTCCTGTAGCCTTTGATGTTGACACTTCCTGTCTTCCTGTCCAGAGAGGCCAGGATGCATCTGACTTTGACAGAGATGATGTGTTTAGTGAAAGGTTCTACCCCTGTATGTGTCATTCACACTCCTGTACCAATGGCTAAGTGCAATACCAATGGGTGAGGCAACTGCTCTTTTTTCCGCTGCCTCCATGTAGAGGTTAGCTACGATGGGGAAATCATGGGAGCCCATGGCACATTTGTGTTTCTCACTGCTGTACTGGGCATGAGTAGTATTCAGAAAGAGGTGCAAGAGAGTGCAGAGCTGGTCTGTAGTTAAAAGCCCTGCTGACCTAGTGCCTTGTCTGAGTAATTTTGACAAGCTCTTAGCTTCGATAATCCTCAATCCAAAGACACAAAAATTGAGGATTAGATTAACTGGAGACTCTAAATGAATCTCTAGAGTCTGTCACAACATTTAATAGGATAGTTGTTCAACACCAAAACAATTAGTCAATCACCATATTAGTCAATCTGATTGAAGCAACATAAGGCATTTTAAGTACAAACCAGAATGTCTTAGGTTTAATACTCATATCAACCTTAAAATAGGGTTTACAAATGCATTTTAGCATTATTAGACATGACATTGTTGGTACCTGATAGTAAAGACAGTTAGTAAATAAAAAGTTAAAATGTGGTGGACATTTGTGTTATTAATGTGCAGTCAACAATTCAGCAGAAACTGAGTGATACTTTCATGTATACAATATGTAAAATATGTAGGTATATTTTACAGCATTGTGACTTTACTGCTTGAAGTAGGCAGGTTCAACCAGAACCCAGCAAGATGT